GAGGGGGAGAGAGAGAGAGGGAGGGAGAGGGGGAGAGGGAGAGGGAGGGAGAGAGGGGGGTGGATATTCATTACATGTGATTCCTTCTGTCATCAGAATAATCAGCAAGTTTTTATTTAAATAAATAAAAGAGAGAGAGAGAAGTGGAGACCAAAGCCAGGTAAATATTCATTACATGTGATTCCTTCTGTCATCAGAATAACCAGCAAGTTTTTATTTAAATAGATAAAAACACTTTCATTCTGGCCCACCCTCAAATTCAAAATTTAAACATAAAAACTAAGATGAAATCAGCAAATCTTTTGAAGAAAATCATGATTGGAAAATGCAGTCATAATATTCTATTTATATCCTATGAAATTAAGAAAACTGGAGGGGTTGGGAGGTATCAAGATGCATTGTATTCATAAACAGATATGCTGAATGCTAACTTATTTGTACAACTTCTTAAAGATAACAAAAATATGATTTAAAAATCATGATTGAATGACAACAAATTTTCAAGGTTATTGGTTTGGTTTTAACATTTTTAAATCAAATACAATATGGAACTTTTGGATGTCCATCATCATGAACAACTAGCTTTTTCATTTCATCTCCATTTTTTTTTTTTTTTTTCATGGGACCTGGACTCTGGGCCTGGGCGCTGTCCCTGTGCTCTTCAGCTCAAAGCTAGCGCTCTACCACTTGAGCCACAGCACCACTTCTGGCTTTTTCTGCTTATGTGGTGCTAAGCAATCGAACCCAGGGCCTCATGCATGCAGGGCAAGCACTCTACCACTGAGCCATCTTTCCAGCCCTCATCTCCAATTTTTTTAGTATAGAAAAATTACAGATAATTGGGCATCAGTGGCTCAGGCCTGTAATCGTAGCTACTCAGGAGGCCGAGATCTGAGGATCAAGGTTCAAAGCCAGCCTAGGCAGGAAAATCCATGAAACTCTTATTTCCAATAAACCACTCAGAAAACCAGAAGTGGTGCTGTGGCTCAAGTGGTAGAGCTTCAGCTAAAGAGCTGAGGGAGCCCAGGCCCAGAGTTCAAGCTCCCCAACCAAAAAAAGAAAAAAATTAGATAAAGTTGACCTCTTTTCTTCCTCCTACATTTCCCTTCTTCCATATGAGCAACTTCCTACTTGAATTCTATAAATCATTCTAGTCCATTTTTATTTTTACATTTGAATATTTGTATATACATAGATTTAGCACTATTATGGATTTTAGTTTTAGTATTAAGGTATACAGAGGAGTTACTATTTCATAAGTCAGGTAGTGAGTACATTTCTTTTTGGATTTTTTTTTTAGTTTTATGTAAAATAAAAAGTAATGTTGGGTGAACACTATATGAGTACCCATCTTTTAACAGCTATATTTCTTTAAAACAACACCATTTTGGCATTTTTACATTTCTCTAATGATGTTAGAGAATAACAGAATGAAGAAAAACAGCAGACATTTTGTGAAAGCTAAGATGAAAGGAACTTGTTCTCATAAGAAAAATATATGTTTCCAAAGGCTAAGTTTTCTCAAGAATCCTAATACTCCCATACAGATCAAAAATTTTAAATAGGCAGAGATGACCAGTAGTCACATTTTATTGTTATTTTAAAATTACCCCCATCCTGGTATTTTGCATAGAGAAATATAAAAATGTGGGCTGGGAATGTAGCTTAGTGGTAGAGTGCTTTCCTAGCATTCATGAAGCTCTGGGTTTAATTCCTCAGTACTATATAAAAAGAAAAACCAGGAAGTGGTGCTGTGGCTCAAGTGGTAGAGTGCTAGCCTTAAACAAAAGAAGCTCAGGGACAGCTTCTTCTTCTCCTTCTCCGGGAAAACACCAAATGGCGGATGAAGCCGGTGCAGCAGGGGGGCCCCCCCGAGGTGCCAGGGGCCTGGGCTTGGGAGGCCGTGGCAGCTTCCGTGGAGGCTTTAGTAGCAGCCTCCGAGGTCGAGGTCCAGTCGCAGCCGTGGTATAGGCCGGGGTGGCGGCCAGGGGGCTTGTGGAGGCAAGGCCAAAGACAAGGAATGGATCCCCTTCACCAAATTGGGCTGCCTAGTTTAAGGACATGAAGATCAAATCTCTGGAGATCTGTCTTTTCTCCCTGCCCATCAAGGAGTCTGAGATTGACTTCTTCTTGGGGGCGTCACTGAAGGATGAAGTGTTGAAGATTATGCCCGTGCAGAAGCAGACTAGAGCTGGCCAGCATACCAGGTTCAAGACATTTGTAGCCATTGGCCACTACAACGGCCATGTTGGTCTGGGGGTTAAGTGGGCCAAGGAGGTTGCCACTGCCATCCGGGGTGCCATCATCTTGGCCAAGCTCTCCATCATCCCTGTGCAGCCAGGTTACTGGGGGAACAAGATGGGCAAGCTTCACACAATCCCATGCAAGGTGACCGCTGAGGTTCTGTGCTGGTGTGCCTCATTCCTGCCACCAGAGGCACTGGAATTATGTCAGCTCCTGTCCCCAAGAAGCTGCTGCTGATGGTTGGAATTAATGACTGCTACATCTCAGCCAGGAGCTGTACTGCTACTTTGGGGAACTTCACCAAAGCCACCTTTGCTGCCATCTCTAAGACCTACAGTTACCTACTCCTGACCTCTGGAAAGAGACCGTATTCACCAAATCTCCTTAAATCAGGAATTCACTGATTATCTTGTGAAAACCCACACTTCACCAGTCTCCATGCAGAGGACCCAGGCTCCAGCTGTGGCTACAACACAGAATTTTATACAAAAATAATAAAGTGAATCAAGCCTGTTTAAAGAAAAAAAAAGCAAAATATCTTAATGACAGATACCATCTTTATTAGCTAATTCTGGTTTCATGTAAATGTTCAAATACCAGGTCAAATTCTGACAATAACTAAATCTTAATTTCTAGAGATAAAACATACATAATCCGGACATATTACCCTTTCCAACATTATAAACACCTACCTCAAACATTTTTCCAAATATATAAATAAAACTGGGATTCCAACAGTAACTGGAAAACCACATGTTAACCAGTATTTTATTAATAGTTTTTCCTTCACCCTGCAAAGAAAAATCCAGATATATGTAGGTTTAGTATTGTCCTTGAAAAGAGGGCAGGAGGTATGGCTTATGGTAGAACACCAGCCCTAATTCAAACCCTAGTACAGGAATATTTTTTTAAAAAGAGAAACAATTTTCAAAATATAGCCAACTAGCCAGGTGCCAATGGCTCTTACTTGTAATTCAAGCTACTCAGAAGGCTCAGATCTGAGGATTATGGTTCAAAGCCAGCCAAAAAAGCCCATGAGACTCTTTTTTTGGGGGGGTCTGGTCGTGGGGCCTGAACTCTGGGCCTGGGCACTATCCCTCAGCTCTTCAGCTCAAGGGTAGCACTCTACCACTTGAGCCACAGCGCCACTTCTGGCTTTTTTCTTTTGGCTTATGTGGTGCTGAGGAATCGAACCCAGGGTCTCAGGCATGCAAGGCAAGCACTCTACCACTGAGCCACCTTCCCAGCCCCCCATGAGACTCTTATCTCCAATTATCCACCAAAAAGCTACAAGCAGTATTGTAGCTCAAGTGGTAGAGTGCTAGCTTTGAGGAAAAAAACTCTGGAACAACAACCAAGCCCTGGAATTCAAACCTCAGGACTGGTACCAAAAAAAATTAATTAAGATACATATATGTACACACACACACAGAAAGACAGAGAGCAAGAAGAGAGAGAGAAGCCGGTACACACACACACAGAAAGACAGAGAGCAAGAAGAGAGAGAGAAGCCGGTACACACACACACAGAAAGACAGAGAGCAAGAAGAGAGAGAGAAGCCGGGTGCTGGTGGCTCACGCCTGTAATCCTAGCTACTCAGGAGGCTGAGATCTGAGGATCGCGGTTCAAAGCCAGCCCAGGCAGGAGAGACCATGAGACTCCCATCTCCAATAAACCACCAGAAAACCGGAAGTGGCGCTGTAGCTCAAGTGGTAGAGCGCTCACCTTGAGCTGAAGAGCTGAGGGACAGCGCCCAGGCCCAGAGTTCAAGCCCCACGGCCGACAAAAAAAAAAAAAGAAGAGAGAGAGAGGAGAGAGGTAGATGAGGTAGTTCAGTGGTAAAACACTTGCCTAGCATGCTCACAGCCATGGGGCTCAATCTCTTGCAACATTGCACACAAAAAAAATGTTTTTTAATTAAAATACATTAGGCACAGAAAGTATCTGGATTATAAAAGATTTTAATATCAAATCAAACATAACATTAACCAAAAGCTTTGTTTTCCATGTGAAATAGTCCACCAACATTGTAATAAGCTAAAAAAAAAAGCATAGTTTCCATTCCACATCAAGGGATTTTGTCTTCTCACATTCCAAATGTAATGTTGGCCTAAAAAATAGATTATCTGCCATGAATAATAAACAAACCAACAAGTTTCTTTCCAAGTCACCAAAATGACACAGCTCAAACTTTTCTTGTTTGTGATCCCAAAACTGGCAGCGTTTTCATTTCGTCCACTCTGTTCTTGTGTATTTGGAACGCAGGAGTTATCCATCTGCCACATGAGCACTGTTCACCATACCAGTTGAAGGAACCCAACTTGGCACTGCATTTTGGGCAAAGTAGCTGAAATAAAGCAAATGTGTTAGATCAGCCATTCAGTTTCATACAAAATATACAACTATTTTTAATGATGCAAGATATAAAAATAGGCTACATGGGAAGTGGTGCTGTGGCTCAAGCGGTAGAGCGCTCACCTTGAGCTGGAGAGCGCAGGGATAGTGCCCAAGCCCAGAGTTCAAGCCCCACGACTGACAAAACAAAACAAAAAACAAAACCAGTGATTGAAAAATAGGCTACATGGCTCCTATCTTCAATCTAAGCAGTGAGACAGAATGCACTGCAAATTTGCTGAAATATAAACTATAATTACTACACAAGAGAGATTTTTGTACTCAGGAGGAACAAATAAATCCCAGATTGTTAAGGGAAAAAGCTGAAGCTTAAGAGTCAGTTAAAGAAATCTGTGGGAGCCAGGAGCTGGTGGCTCATGCTTGTAATCCTAGATATTTAGGAGGCTGACATCTAAGGATGACAATTCAAAGCCAGCCTGGGCAGGAACATCTATGAGCTCTTAAATCCAAGGAACCACGAAAAAGCCCCAAGTGGAGTTATAGCTCAAGTGGTAGAGTCACTAAAAAAGACCCAAGTGGAGTTGTAGCTCAAGTGGTAGAGCCGCTAGCCTTGAGTAAAAGAAACTCAGTGGTAGAGCACTTGCCTTGCATGCCTGAGGCCCTGGGTTCGATTCCTCAGCACCACATAAGCAAAAAGAAAAAAGCTGGAAGGCGCTGTGGCTTAAGTGGTAGGGCGCTAGCCTTGAGCTGAAGAGCTGAGGGACAGCGCCCAGGTGCAGAGTTCGGCCCCACAACTGGACCAAAAAAAAAGAAACTTAGGAACAGTGCCCAGTCCCTGAGTTCAAGCCCCAGGACCTGCACAAAAGAACAAATCCCTTCCCCCCCCCAAAAAAAAAACAAAACAAAAAGAAATCTTTATGGACATGACATATGATCTCAAATCAAATCATTTTGACTGAAGTATAAAAAAAAGTTAGAATTCTTATATCCTATTACTAGTTGATAGTGACAGCATACAAACCAGTATTAAAAAAAAAAACAGGTAAATCTAAAAAAATTAGGTCAACTATATTTTCTCTAATGTAGCTATAGCATTATTTTTATGATTAGTACTTTTACATGGTATGAAATAGGGAATTTTTACTAAATCTTGAGCTACAGAAAATGAGGGCAGATATGGTAGTTCAAATCTTTAATACTAGTACTACTTGCGAGGCTGAGGCAGTAAGATTGTGAATTTAAGGCTATCCTCAACTATATAATGAGTTCAAAACTAGCCTGAGCTATAAGGCCCTATCACACAGAAACAAACACATTTGATTACATGTCTTAAATTTGTTATGACAAAATATACCAATAATTTGAAACTGGATTAAAAATCTAAAGTATATTAGATGAAGGATTAAAATCTACAATATGTGGAGAGCTTGTGCAAATTAGTAAGAGGAAAAAAACATAGAAAACTGGGCAATGGATACAAAAGCAACACACAAAAAAAAATTTTTTTGGCTGGGGAAGAGGGAAGAGGATAGCCTCACACTATGTAGCCCAGTATAGCGTCAAACTGGTGATTCTCTTGCCTCAGCCTCCGCCTACTATTGCTAGGATTATAGGCATGTACTATCATGCCCAACTGAGTTATATTTAATAAAGCTGTTTTAAAAAGCAGCTTCAGGGCTGAGAAGGTGTCTCAGTGGTAGAGCACTTGCCTTGCATGCATGAGGTCCTGGGTTCCATTCCTCAGCATCACATAAGCAAAAAGAAAAAAGCCGGAAGTGGCGCTGTGGCTCAAGTGGTACAGCGCTAGCCTTGAGCTGAAGAGCTGAGGGACAGCGCCCAGGCCCAGAGTTCAGGCCCCATGAACAGACCGCCCCCCCCCCAAAAAAAAGCAACTTCATCTGGCCATGTGGATTGGAATATATAGTAACACCTTCTGAATAAACACATCAACTAAGACTCCCCATGTATAAATTACAAATATTATTTGCTGTCCCTATTTTATATAACTATTTTATTCTTCTAATGAGATAATGCAGTAAAAGTTTCGTAAGATATCTACTATAAACTTTTCAGTTAACCATACCACTTCTCAAATTTGTAAGACTGAGCCAAGGGTGGTGATAAAGACCTTATCACGGAAGGATAAGGCAGGGGAATCACAAGTTTGAGGCTAACCTAAATTACATAAGGAAACATTTCTCAAAGAATAACAAAACAAGGCTGGAGGTGTGGCATTAACCTAGCAAACAACTGCACTGTCAGCCTTTTGCTGGTTAACTGGAGGTAAGAATCTCAAGGAGTTTTTTGTCCAGACTGGCTTCAAATCTCCATCTTCGGGTCTCATACTCCTAAATATTACAGGCATGAGTCACCAGTGCCTAGTGAATCAGCTGGTCTTAAAAAAATACTTTTAGCTGGGTGCCAGTGGCTCATGCCTATAATGCTAGTTACTCAAGAGGTTGAGATCTGAGGATTTCAGTTTGAAGCCAGCCCATGCAGGAGAGTCTATGAGACTCTTATCTCCAATAATCAGAAAAAGTGGAAGTGCCACTGTGTCTCAAGGGCTAGGGCACTACCCTCGAGCACAGAAAAGCTCAAGGAAAGCACCCAGGCCCTGAGTTCAAGCCCCAAAACAGGCAAAAAAAAAAACTTTATTTGGGGATGGGGCAGCAGTGGTAGACTACATGCTCCATCCCCAACATCCAAAACTAAAAGAAAAAAATGGGGGGCTGGGAAGGTGCCTCAGTGGTAGAGTGCTTGCCTTGCATGCATGAGGCCCTGGGTTTGATTCCTCAGCACCACATAAGCAAAAACAAAAAAGCCAGAAGTGGTGCTGTGGCTCAAGTGGTAGAGTGTTAGCCTTGAGCTGAAGAGCTGAGGGACAGTGCCCAGGCCCAGAGTTCAGGCCCCATGACCGGACTCAAAAAAAAGAAAAAAAAATTCATTTGTTGCAGCCTTACCTGTAGTAGAAAAGTATAATCTTCAGAAAGAAAGGAGTTAAAATGCAGTAAACTACTATTGAAAAAATTTGCAAAATGCAAAAAAACTAAATATACATGATACAATGTAATTCTAGAAAATAAAATGTTCTTACCTGTCCATCTATCACTCCCAACAAAGTAGATTCCATCCACTGTACAGGTTCAATGAAATAAGATGTACACTGAGACTGAGTCCCTGTGGTAAGCATGAAAGACGGTGTTCTCTTGTGGGCAAAGGCTATAGGTCCACTTCCTTCATTATGATCCAAAATACTTGAACTTCGGAATAAAGATCGCCTACAACCCCCAAACATATAAAAACATTTATAACTTCTAAAAAGATTTTTTTTAAAGCATGAAATCTAAAAAAAAAAAGAAGCAGCATGAAATCTGCATTATTTCTTAAAAAACAATAGTATGATTATGCTAACTAAATTTTCAATATCAATATAATCTGATGATGATTACTTTTTTTGTTGTTGTTTTGTGTGTTTCTGTGTTTGTTTTGTTTGTTTTGATGGTCTTGGGCACTGTCTCTGAGCTTTTTCCACTCAAAGCTAGCACTCTACCACTTGAGTCACAACTCTACTAATTTTGATGGTTAATTAGAGATAAATCTCATGGATTTTCCTGCCCAAGCTGGCTTCAGAATTGCAATCCTCAGATATCAGCCTCTTCAGGTCAGATTATAGGCATGAGCCACCCATGCCCAGCTACTTTTACTTTTTTTGGTAGTCATGAGGCTTTAAAGAGCCTGGGCAACTGTCCCTGAGCTTTTTCACTCAAGGCTAGCACTCTTATCACTTTGAGCCACAGCTCCACGTCTGGCTTTCTGGTGTTTAATTGGAGTTAAAAGTCTCACAAACTTTCCTGCCTGGCTGGATTCAAATCACAATCCTCAGATCTCAACCTCCTGAGTATCTAGGATTGCAGGTGTGAGTCACCAGTGCCTAACTTCTTTTACTTTTAAGAATCTGAATTCTTCTCAACAATAAATTTCATTTTGAAATTTCTATAGTATTCAATTTAACTCTTCCTACAAAAACAAAAAAGAAAACATATTTTTCAGCTGCTGAAACAAATTCTCCAAAGGAAAGAATAAATATTTTACCTGCACTTTCTACATTTATAGAGAATTTCATCTTTTAATCCTTGTGAAATGGTGGTTGGGTCAACAGCAAAGAGTTCTTGAGGTAAATTCTGCAATTCTACAAGACATAATTAAAATGTCCATTTGCCAAAATCAGCATTCTGCATTTTCAGACAAAATTCAAATGCCAAACTGAGGCAACAAGTGCTAAACTCAAGACGTAAGCAAAAACATAAAAATAAATAAAAAAAGCCTGTATCAGAAAATGAGGATGAGGTAGGAAAACAGTAAATCTTGAGTTCTAGGCCAGACTGCCTAATTTCAAATCCCAGCCTTGCCCTTTATAATGCATATGACACTGAATAAGTTATTTCTGCCTAAACCAGTTAAAAAACAAACAAAAAAAAGAAAGAAAGAAAGAAAACCAACAACAGATGTATCTCACAGGATTGCTAGAAAAGTGAGATGACATAGTTAATGTCCCCATAAATTATATCTAAAAAGGGTCTGTTCTAGGGAATGGGGAACATGATGGAAAGGATGACTGTGGTCAAGAAGCACTGGATACATAGTGAATATGTTAATTTTTTTTTTTTTTTGTCGGCCGTGGGGCTTGAACTCTGGGCCTGGGCGCTGTCCCTCAGCTCTTCAGCTCAAGGCGAGCGCTCTACCACCTGAGCTACAGCGCCACTTCCGGTTTTCTGGTGGTTTATTGGAGATCAGAGTCTCAAGGTCTCTCCTGCCCGGGCTGGCTTTGAACCGCGATCCTCAGATCTCAGCCTCCTGAGTAGCTAGGATTACAGGCGTGAGCCACCAGCGCCCGGCTGAATATGTTAAATTTAAAACCAGTTGAAGGTTAAAAAATTAGTTAACCAAAAAAAAAATTAGTTAACAACAAAAAAAAAGAGCCCAATATAAACCAACAATTATTATTACTTACCTGGATACTTCTCTGTAACCTTTTGCAAACGATATTGCTTATAAATAGCACTAGAAGTATCCACCTCATTTCCCATCACATGATATAACTTCAGCTGCTGCTCAAACCCCTCATTCATCCTGTAATAACCAACAAATATAAAGGTCAAGTTTCTCTTTTTTTTTGGTGCCCGTTTGGGGTTTACTCAGGGCCTGAGTGCTGTTCCAGAGCATTTTTGCTCAAGTCTAGTACTCTATCACTTGAACCATAGCTCCACTTATGGCTTTTTGATGGCTAATTGCAGGTAGAGTCTCATGGATCTTCCTGCCAGGGCTGGCTTCAAATCACCATCCTCAGATCTCAGCCTTCTGAGCTAAGATTACTAGTGTAAGCCATCCACACTCAGCTAAATTTCTTAAATAGAACCACATTACATGCTTGGAGCCAGTGACTCATGCCTGTTATCCTAGCTACTTAGGAAGCTGAGATCTGAGGATCACGGTTCAAAGACAGGCCAGGCAGGAAAGTCCATTAGGCTCTTAGCTCCAATTAACCACCAGAAAGCCGGAAGTGGCACTGTGGTTCAAGTGGTAGAGCACTTGCCTTGAGCTGAAGAGCTCAGGGACAGCACCCAGGCCCAAACCCATGACTGACAAAAAGAAAAAAAAAAGGTAAGATTATTACTAGAACAAAATACTCACCTAGCTTCTGGTTTGATAGTTTGGAGGTTTTCATAGGCTTTTTCAAAGCTAAGTTGGTCAGTCTTCATCATAAAAGCAGTCACTACAGCTACACTTCGACTGACTCCTGCATGACTGAAAAACAGACCTTCAAAATAAAATGGCAAATAGCAATAATTAAAAAAAAAAAAAAAACAAACTCCAGCCCCTGATTTATGGTAAAGTTCAGGTCTACTGCATTTCTACATTCTATTCCAATAAATCCACTGCATCTGAAATACTACCAATGTACACAAAAACTATTTTATTTCTTTTCAATTCTGAATAATGTGAACGTATAACCTGCTCAAAATAATCACTGTATATTCACACACGATGAGACTAAAGGAGGATATTCTTAAGAGAGGAACAAAAAGGCACAATATCTATGTGCATCTGATCATATAAAATAATATGTATTGAAATGAACTCCAAGAAATGGAAACAAGGTATTTTTCTTTGTTGCTGTTTTTTTCTTCTTTATGTTTATTCATTTACCTGTCTTTCACCTTTATAACAATAAAATTCATTTTTTAAAAGTCACTGTAAAAAAAAAAAGTCACTTTTGGTAATGGCTCCAGCAGACCCAACATCTGATCAGCTCTATAATCATAGGAGTGTCTCTATAAACCCTTTAGAATGCAGAGACTTTGGTGCGGGTGCCTGACAGTGTGTGTCGGTCCTGGGAATTGGTGAACTCTATCTCCAGTGTGTGTGTGTGACAGTCATGGGGGTTAAACTTTTTTCCCCCAGTGGTTAATTGGAGATAGGAATCTCTTGAACTTTTCTGCCTGCTGACTTCCATCTGTGATCCTTAAGATCTCAGCCTCCAGGGTAGCTAGGACTGCAAGTGTGTATTTTTTTTTTTTAATTTTTGGTCAGTTGTGGGACTTTCTGAACTCTGGGCCTGGGCACTGTCCCTCAGCTCTTCAGCTCAAGGCTAGCGCTTGAGCCACAGCGCCACTTCCGGTTTTGTGAGTGGTGTACCGGAGATAAGAGTCCCACCGACTTTCCGGCCCAGGCAGTCTGAACCGTGATCCTCGGATCTCGGCCTCTTGAGTAGCTAGGATTTTAGGCGTGAGGCACCAGCGCCCGGCTGTATTTTTTTAAATAACATTTTTTTCCCTAATCTGTTGCTACAGGGACAACGCATGACTCAGGGTTGTGCCTCCGGACCCCTCCTCTCTGAGGCACAAAAGGGTCTGCAGCTATGCCTGCCCCTCGTCCTCTCCCTGAGGCCTCGGCCGCTGGGGGTGGCCTGGGGCAGGCCGGAGGGAGACAGGGTGAACACTCACCAGTGCACCAACACTCCACGGCCCTCGGCAAGGGCCTGGCCGATGAAGGCCACGCACCGGTCCAGGTGGCTGAGCAGGTCGGTCTCGGGTTGGTCCAGCGCCGGTACGAAGAGGCTGCGGAGACCCTCGAACCCGGCCCCCGCAGGGAAACGGGGCTCCGAGTCCACCGTCAGCAAGGCGGTGATGCCGGCCTCCCTCAGGCGAGCTGGCTCCGCAACGGCCGCCGCTCCACCCAGATACAGCCCGGGCCGCACCTGCAGCATCTGTCCGGAGTAGCTGGCCCCACTGGCGCCCGCGCTCCCATGGTCCAAGCCATCGCTTGGGCCCGGAGCTTCCAACATGGCAGCGCAGGAAGCCAGATAGCTGCGAGCCTCTACCACAGAGGAGAGGTGGGCTAGAGCATCCCTCTCCTGTGCCCCGCCCACCTCTTCTTCCCCGCCCGCCTTCCCCGTCGGCGACTCAGCAGCGCCACAGGAGGACCACGTGGGCAGCGGGAATAATTACAGCTAAGGTTAGAGCCAATGTATCTAGATCATTCCTCAGGTCATCTTACAAACCCTTGGCTGATTCTCGATGGTTTCAATTCCGACCAAGTAAGTGACCAAACTGTCCACGGCAGTTCTGAGCGTCTTCAAGCCCAATCCCACTTGATTCACTGAGGATTTTAGGTTGTCTAGAGAAGCAAGGTTGACCAGGAGGCAGACCAGGCCGCCTGCGCCTGGTCCTAGCTGAGCAGCGTGTGAACCTGCTCCTGCACCTTCTGAAGAGACTCCATGGTGCTGGGTAGTTCACTCACACTTCTCTTCAGGCCCTCCATGTCACTATAGAGAGCCAGCTGGGCCTCCCCCAGGATCCTCACCGTGCCAGCCAGCGTGTCCTTGTCCACCCTGGGGAAGGACCCCGGGCTTTCAGGCTTCCCTGGCGCTGTTCATGCTCCAGGCTCTTAGACAGGAGTGATTCTAGGCTCTGGGTCTGAAGCACAGAGAACCACCTGAATTGAATGGACTCCGTCCTCTACACTCTGGAGCCTGGAGTCCAGTCCCTGATTTTTCTTCTGGAGTGCATCTAAGGCATCGAAGCTTCAGAAATCACATCTTCCTGGGGCCCCTGGGCCTCGGCCTTCAGCTGGCATAGCTCTTCTTCCAGCCTTCTGATCTACTGGGGGAGGTGGGAGGTGGGAGGCGGACTACTTTGGATTGGAGGAGTTTTTCCGAAAAGGCTTGTAGGAAGGTGTCTGCCGCCTCCTGGAACACCTGCTGCTCCTGCTTGAGTCTCACCAGTTCCCACACCTCTGTGTAGATGTCTGACTCTGGTTTGCAGCTAGTCCCTCAGGGCCTCCCATGTTCCTAGACTTTACATAGGTCTGTATCTCCTCCACCTCTTCCTTTAGGGCCTTCAGCTCCTGTTTGTACTCCTTGTATTCTTCCAAAGAGGCAACCTTTACCCTGATGTTAATTTCCTCCTGGCTCCTCTTCTGGACTTGGGTGAAGATGGCGATGTTGTTGTTGATGGACTTGGTGAGCTCTGTCAGCGGCTCCTCCACCGTGTTCTCCAGGGGCGTGAAGTCACACTCGTGGGCATCCTTCACCACATGGATGTTGTCCGAGAGGTAGAGGACCTTGTTTGGCAGCTTCTGTAGGATTTCACAGATGCAGTTGATCTCACTCTCTCCTTGCTTAGACACCTTCTCCGTGAGGTCCTGCTTATGCTGGGAGCTTCTCAAGATGGACTGGAAGGTCCAAATGTGGCTTGCAGAGACTGCACCTTTTGCTGGGCACCCTGCAAGCCCTGGCTCCGCTGTTCATGCTGCCTGGAGAAGTCCTGGTGGCTGTGCCAGGCCTGCTGGTCCTCACCGGGGATATGGTGGACGTTCCAGCCCAAGAAGATGGTGGCAGCCACCTGGGTGAAGCAGAAGAGAAGGTGTAGTGCCCAGCCAAGGCAGCACAGGCCAGCAGAGGGGGCGGAGGACTTGGCCACATTGGCGGCCCAGGCCATGAGCTGGAGTCTGCCGGTACAGGCAAAGTAGTGCATAGGTTACCAAGTGCATCCACTCCTCATTATCTCCACTGTTCCAGATGGATCGATCCCTGGAATAAGGAAAACATTCAGACAGAAGACAAGATAAAGACTGACTTCGGAAGATTTCTGAGTTCCTCTAAAAAGAATTTTTATGGCATGTCTGGCCTGTTAGTATTATCTCCACTTTTGTTCCTCAGCTACACTGAGACCTGAGCTCCTCCCTGCCCTAGAGTTTTCGCCATGCAGTTGGCCACTCCCTCTTCTGCCCAGACCTAGTTTGCTCACTTCTGCCCTCACTTTCTCCCCCCAGACCTACCTGCCATTGGATAGGGGCAGACGCCATGTGCTCTCTCTCCCAGGGAGATATGGCCCCTCCAATAAAACTTATAATAATCTTTCAAAAAAAAAGGTGGGGGCCTCAGAGTCAGCATCTAGGCCCTGAGTTCAAGCCCCCAGGCCCCTCATAACAAAAAACAAAAAGAAAGAAAAGTTTCAGGGAAAAGGCCTCAGGAGCAACTGAACTCAGATTTGAAATGAGGATCCCACCAACTCAGTGGCATTATTTCATGCATTTGAAGCAGAACTTTTTTAGTGATTAAATTTTAATTTTTCCTCTTTTGACTATTTTCCCCACCCCACTTTTAATTGGGATGATTTTTTGGGGGGGAGGGACATCATAGGGCTTGAACTCAGAGCCCAGGCACTATCCCTGTAGCTCCTTTTTGTTCAAGGGTAGCACTCTACCACTTTGAGCCATAGCTTCACTTCCTGTTTTCTGGTAGTTAATTGGAGATAAGAGTCTCACAGTCTTTCCTGATCAGGCTGGCTTTGTGACCCTCAGATCTCAGTCTTCTGAGTAGCTAGAATTACAGGAATGAGCCACCAGTGCCTGGCCATTAAGACTTATTCTGAAAGTATTAACTCCTATTGAATGTCAATGTCTTCCAGCCAAAGATCGCCTGGATTCTGACCTGTACTACAACAGTCTAGCTTTCTTACTCAACTCTGGAAACAAAGGAGAATTCAGGGCATCACAGTAAGACTTGTTAGGAGGATTGGGCTTTCTTATTAGGTGCTTATTTTAGACAGGGTTTAATGAAGCTTGGCTTTGCTCTAGATTGGATGCTATCAAGAAGTTAAGGGAGGCTAATTCTATAACTGAATATGGTATCTTTTTTGTCAGCACTAAGATTTGAACTCAGGGCCTTGAGCTTGGTAGGCAGATATTCTACCACTTGAACCATGCCTCTAGTCCAAAAATATCTTAATAAATCTTATCTATAAGAAGAGAAAGATAGAGAAGTACTAAATCTGTAATTGGTAGGAAGTAACAGCTGGGCACTGGTGGCTCAGACCTGTAATCGTAGCTGCTCAGGAAGGTGAGATCTGAGGATCACAAATGGTAGTTTGAAGCCAGTCTAGTAGAAAAATCCCCAGACACTTATCTCCAATAAGCCATCAAAAATCTGGAAGTAGAGGTGTTTGTCAAGTATTATGTCTTAAGCAAAAAAGCTAAGCAAGAGCCAGAGGTCCTGAGATCAAGCCCTAGTATGGCACCAAAATACATAATACATAATGCATACATATACATATATATACATAAAATAATAAACATAAATCAGTAAAAGTTTAGCTCTGAAGACTGGTTTCTCAAGCCTTGAACATTCCAAAGAAAGGCCTGTATACTGGGCAACTGGCCCTAGGCCAGCCATCTCCCTGGGCTATACTAAATCAATTTGACTATGGATAAAGGTAGGTTTTATGTTTTATATAGCAATGCTGTATCAGTTTGACCTCAGAGTGGTTGAAGACCAAGCACTTAAGGGTAGTTACACATGCCCATCTGACTAGCTCCCAATAAAATCCATGAACACCAAACTTAAGGAGGCTTCCTTTTGAGAAATATTTACATGTCACACATTGTTGCTGGGAGAATTAAAAAAAAAACCCATATGATCTTGGTGGTCATCAATACAGCTTTTGTTATCCTTAACAGTGAAAAACTAAAACACTGCAATCACAAGTAATAGATTGGTTGAAAGAGTAGTTTTATCCATTCGATGATATTTTATGCAAGTATGAAGGAAGAATAAGGAAGTCTTACTCTACCTACATCCATTCTACCTATGTGATTTTAAAAAAAATCAGTCTTACGTAGCAAGTATAGCCAGGCACTGGTGGCTCATACCTGTAATCCTAGCTACTCAAGAGGCTGAGTTCAAAGGATCATGGTTCCAAGCCAGCCGGGGCAGAAAATTCTGTGACTCTTATCTTCAATTAACCACCAAAAAGCCAGAAGTAGAGCTGTGGATGAAATGGTAGGATGCTAACTTTAAGGAAAAAAGATCTTAGGACAATGTCCAATACCTGAATTCAAGCTCCAGAACTGGCATGAGAAAAAAATCTGGATCCACTTATTTTAATAAATACATAAATGCACATTAAATGAAGATACTGAGATTTACATAAAACTGTTGATACTGTTACATAACTATTAAAACTGTTCATGGTGATTGTTTCTGTGAGCCAGGTTTACATGATAAACATGATACAACTCTTTCTTACTTTTATTTGTGCCAGTGTTGGAACTTGACCTCAAGGTCTTGAGCAAAAGGCTTGGTGTTTTTCTGCTCATGGTTTGAGCTCCACCACTTGAATCATGCCTCCAGTCCCAGCATTTTTGCTAGTTAATTGTAGATGAGAGTTTCTCTGATTTGTATGTTCCCCCCTACCCTCAACTGGCTTTGAACCTTAAGCCTCATATCTCAGTCTCTTGAGTAACAAGGATTACAGGCCTGAGGTACTGGTGCCTGGTTGAGCTTACTTTCTCCACTCCATAAAGTGACTGTAATCTTTTGCAAAAATAAGGAAAGGAGACTTATCTGAATAGCTGTTGAACATTCACAGAACATGGCTAAACATTAGCAGGCATAAATTCCTGATATTTAATATTGGCTAATTGGTGCTTTGAACCACTAGATAGCGCCATTTGCTGTTTTGAAAATATATCTCCCATGGGCTAGGAAGGTGGCTCAGTGGTAGAGCGCTTGCCTTGCATGCATGAGGCCCTGGGTTAGATTCCTCAGTACCACATAAGCAAAAGAAAAATAAAAAAGCTAGAAGTGGCGCTTGGCTCAAGTGGTAGAGTGCTAGCCTTGAGGTGAAGAGCTGAGGGACAGTGCCCAGGCCCAGAGTTCAGGCCTATGACTGGACCCAAAAAAGAAAAAGGAAAAAGAAAAATATATCTCCCTCCTCACATTCCCCACCCCCCCCACTCCACATAACTTCTTTATTATGGGTAATGAAAATATGCCAGCCTGCAAGAAAAGTAAAATGTAAGCTC